AGAGCACCCAAGACTGCGCGGCACAAGGATCCCCAGGACCCCCAGGAGTCGGGGTGCCCTGCGGTGGTCCCCGGCTGCCGTTCTTTATTTACATGTATTGCAGTTATTTTGTATGTAATTTATTTCCCAACGGCCCAAGTCCTCGGAGTGCGTTCCTCACCTCTCCCCCGACATTGGTTTTTGTTTATTGGTTTTCCAACTTGGAGCTCTGTGCTGCAGCACCGGTTCCTTCCTTTGGCCAAGTGTGTGTTGTCTGCAAAGCGCTTGACGTTGTTGGCTCCGTCGGTCAAGTTTGAGTTTTGGTTTTAATGGTGGAGCTGGACAGTGAAGTGGAGTGACCACAGCTGCGGCAAAGGGGATGTCGCTGTGGCGCTATAATAATTAGGTTTCGAAGTAAAGATGATATACACGCTTGCCTTAATAATGATTTGAGACCAGTTTCCTTTCAAATCCATTATAAAACATCGAGAGTATCAATATACCAAAAAGGTTATGCAGCTTATGAACAGTTGGCGGTCACACTAGCATGTGTAATAAACAGTCACACTATTTTATCTATACACATTTAGTTGAACGCACAATGTATTCCTCTCCCTTACTCTTGCACAAAGATCATGACAAAGAACACTATGTGTATCCTGTTCTTACGATGTAGAAATTAGGCTAGGATAGAATACGAAAAAATAAATAAAAAACACTTCGCACGTGCATTAACAGTTGTCTTTATATCAAATCATTTTAAAAGGCCTAAAACTTTTAATATCGTTTACAATGTTAAGCTTCTATTAATTAAGTTTTACTTTTCTTTACTTACTTTATTCAAGGGTCCTAAATACACTTTTTAAATAAATGTAAAAACCATCATTGTTCTAGTACTTTAAGCATTCAGTTCAGTGGCTTACTTAACAGCTCACTTCAGCTTAATAAAGTTATTCACTCAGTCGAAGGTTTTAATTTTAAATTTCCCCATCGCTGTCTGCCTTCCAACCCAATGTTGTTTCTTGAGGAAAATTAAGAGGCACAGAATTTTTATATTTCCGTTGAATATGCAATGACAACAGAAAAACAGTGAAAATACAGCCTTTGTGGAGGGGGCTCCGGGGCGCACTTCGCTGCTCGTTAATCAATTAAAACATTTGTGAATTTGCATAAACATTTTCGCCCCCGCTTCTGCCATAATTTTTGCACTTGCGAGCCTCAGTTTGTTTACATGGAAGCGTTCTGTTCCCGCCACCCAGCCCCTCTCCCTCTTCTCAACGCCCTTCTCCAACAACTTGCGAATGCCGCAAACAAAAATTGATTAAAACATCACGTAATCGCAGTGTCGTCGTCGTCGTCGGAATCGGCACCGGACTGGGAGCTTGGGCCATGGGCGGCGCCAACGTCAAGTTGGGGATCGGACATGGCATCTCTATGCCATATACGGGAATGCGGGAGATCTCCGGCGGAGCGGCGCACGTACGCATGTGGTTTCGCTCTGGCCCTCAGAATGTGCCGTATGCCGATGCCGTATGCATATGAATTGGAATCGTTTCGATTGAATTCTGCGAACTCGCAGTTGATTCATCTGACAGCCTCTGCAGTGAATTCAAATCGAGCCAATTATCCATTGCCTATAGCCTATAGCCTCTGCTGGGCTGGAGTCTATTGCGAGCCGCAGATATTTATTAATGACAAATTGCGCATCGATGAGGTGGAAGTGGACCAAGTGACTCACGGCGGGCAGAGGAACCTGACATCTTATCATCGCTGCCATAAATAAGGTAAAGGGACATCTGGCATGGATTGGGGGATTCGTGGGTTCTGTGCCACGGCAGAGGCACCGTAATTCTTTCTTGCAGTCTTCATAAATTTCATTTTAACATGCGGCCCAATGTCAGTGCCCTTGCTTTTGGGCCAGCCCAACGCCTCTCTGGCCCCTCTGTTCTGGCCGAATATGCTTAATGACTTGTTGGTGTGCTGGATTTAATATAAATTATATTTTTTTTTGGCCCGTGCTCGTGCGGGCAGCGAATCTTCCCTGGAGAGAGGCAAAGTAACCAGTTTGGTTTGCGAAATGATTAAAATTTTATTCCAATGAATTTTTGTATGGCGTTGCTGGCGATGCAATTGCTGAAGGGCAATCCCTGGTGAGTTATGGGGAAGAGTTGGGAATTTTAAGCTGCCACTTCGCATGCAGCGGGGACCTCATCCATCATGGGAAATTGAACTCATCTCCAGTCGGCCTGCCTCCCACGCAACTCTCAATAGATTTCCATGTCGGAATATTCGTATCTGGGTCAGAGTGCTTGATTGATAGTAAATAAAGAGCGACCCGCTCGAATCAAGTCAAATCATATTTCTTCTTGAGCGGTACTTGGGCATTTTAATTAGTCTTGCCCTCCTCTTCCTCCGTCTCCTCCTCGGGCCGCTTTGACACAAGGGGGCAAAATAATTGGCTCAATTCAGGGACTTTCGATTCGATCTGATTGTGGGCCAAACGCTCAAGCAAATAAACCCATCCAGCGCAGAGTTCTGTGTGCCATTTGGATCAATCAATCAGGGGATTTGGGTTAGCACGAGTTCTGGCCTAGAAATATGCCACACATGAATCAACCTCTGGTCCGTGGAGCGGCAAAAAGGTTGCTCATAAAATATGTACCCAGGCCCGAATTAATTTGCAATGAAAATGTGCGAAAAGATGCAAATGGCCGGGATTTGCAGTAAAAAATTGACCAAAACATAAGTTTAACGGTGCGGCTAGGAAATATGTTGTCAAATAAATAAAAATTCCGTGCGAACGGAATAAAAACCAGAGTTGGAGCCGTGCATGTGAGGGACTCTGCCATTTGATATAAATGTGGGGTTGTTTGTCCAGCCCAGCCTCAGACGATGACAGGAAACTGTAAGGAATTGCTCCGGGCGGCTGGATGGGCGGTGCTCTGAACTTGAAAGCTGGCAGGCGATCAATATTTCATGCAAAGTTCGAAAAAATCTCTCTCGAGCATGTTTATGAAAATGCAACCGGAAATCGAATGTCTGTCAGGACGAACATTTCTATAAACTGGTGTGGGGAGCCAAGAGGAAACCTAGAAATAGCTTCCTCTTTCCTCCGCAAATTATGCAAATAAGTCAACACTGGGCTGCCAGAGAATGTGTGAGTGTGTGTGAGTCTTCTGGAAAAGTTTCCCCGGCGGACCACAAATGAATCATATGCCAAAAGGCATTCGAAGGCTTCAAGGCTTTGTAATGGGCCCTTTGGGTCCTTCTCCAGTCCCTCCGTCTCCACTCCAGTCTGCTCCGACATGACGCTGGAAAGTGCACATTGGAGCAGGGAAAGTTTTGTGCTCAAGTCTGAGCGCTGTCAATTTCAGTTTCCGCCTCCGTCCGGAGCCGAGATGATTTTGGCAGATTTTCCCAAGGAGAAACATTTGTCTTTTCTGCAGTTTGGGTGTGATCAAAGAACCGAGGCCTGTTTACCCTTATCAGTCATTTTCGGAGACCACATGCCGAGACTCACCTGCAAGGACTGAGATAAAAAGTACGATACAGTCTTGGTTTCCAGGCAATTCGAATTCCTAATCTATACGTGGCCAGCGACTAATCCATGGCCACAAGCCGACTTACATCGGGTTTAATTAACGAAGGAGGCGTGCTGGGCAGGGGAAGGGGCGGACTAAACTTAACCGGAACAGAACTTAAGCGCATAAATTATAGCCTGAGCTCGGACTTAGGAATGCTAATGATGTCCTCCGGCTGTCCTTTCTCCATTCGCATCCTGGCCCGGCTAATAATGCTTTGCATATAATCAAGCAGCCCATGCATGACTTTCCCCGGCTTCATCCCGGGCTTTTCGATCCGTCTTCTTGGGAGGCTCACGGTGCTAATCCAACAACTTGACTGCCATTACCCCAGGACATGGGACTCAGGACTCAGGACTAAGGATAGCTGGGAGCATCGCCAAGTCGGCGGAGGAGGAAAAAAACGTTCATTTGCTCAATCGTGCACTCGAAAATGTCAATTTACATTTGCGGACTGGCTGGCTGGATGGCTGGCTACGCATTTTCCCCTGTGGGGGAATCTGGGCCCCAGCCAGCTTAAGTTGACTTTAACGCCTCAATGCATCCAACTAGAAGGGCCAGATGAATATGAAGGCCAAGGGAGATGCGAAGGCATTTCATATAGGAGAAAGTTTTGTGTGTGCAACAGGGAAAAAAGGAAAACTTTTTATTAAAGTCAGCTGAAATGGCTGGAACTCGTTTCGGTTTCGGATTTCCATGCTCGCAGAAACTAGCTGCCTAGTCCACCCAAGTCCGCCCAGACCTCCTCTTTCGCCCTTCTGTGTGTGTTTGACAATGTGGGCGTGGCTCTCGGCTCTATCTGTTTCTCTGGTCAAGTTAATTTGTATGTGTGGCCGTAAACTTTTGCCGGCTTAGACTTTCCAGCACTGGCCGCCCAGTGGGCGACCAGGACGGATGGATGAATGGATGGATGCTGCCGCCACGGACATCTGAACCGTTGGGTGCGGGCTGGAGTCTTCCCCCGATATCTCAAATGTCCAGTTCTGGACTTCGTCCACAATGTGTGAATTTTGTTGGCTTATTGCTTTTCTATGCCGCATAATTGCTGACTTCTTTCACACATTCGCACACATCATTGGAGCGGTCTGAACCGAACCGGACTGGACTGGGCTGGTCAGGAAGGGACCGATTTGGGTGCGGCGGTGTGTGTTTGTCCTTGGACAAGGCGCATAAATCATTGGGGGATGCCGCAGAGCCCCGAAATTTATGCTTGGTTGCATTTTTGATGCCCGAGACCCAAGGATGGGGACTGTTTAAATGCTCGCCCAGTGGGCAGGGAAGATAAGAGCGGTTGGGTCCGCTGGGGCAGTCAGAACAAATCAAGAGAAAAGCTTCCGGGAAGCGTATTTCAATTCAGAGCTGTCGGATGCCCACTCCCGCTATCTTCATCCTGGCACTTCTCCGACTCCTTTACAGTTCACCAAAGTGTTTTTCGAATAGTTTCGCACTTTGTGCCTCGTTGCATGGCTACTCGATGGGCCACCTTGGTTACCACCGCTTGTTAACCAAACAAGTTGTCCAAGCAACGACCATTTTATTTGCCTTCCACAGCGGACTCGTTCATTGTGGTTCAGATTCTCATCTAGGAGATAGTTCTTCGAATCGAGTTTTCACACCTCATTACCTCGCGTGTCTTACGAAAGATGCCCTGCTTTTCCGCCTCCAATGTGCGGTTCGTCAGTGCCGAGTCTCAGTTGCAGCAAAAGTGCAATGAGCTAAGGGCTAGGGCACGTGCCCAAACGGCGGCCTATCGCCCACCTCCTGGGGGCTTTCGTCCCTCCACCACATCCTTCGGGTCCTTCAGGAGGGCACCCTGCGACCAGTCGGCGGCCTATGACCAGAAGCAGCTCAAACGCAATGAACGGGAGCGAAAGCGCAATCAGGGCACCAAACAGGTGGTGCTCCGTGCTGGTGAGCTCCGGCGCCTCAAGGATCTGGGAAAGCTTGAGACTGTGAGCGAAAAACTGCAGAGGATTGAGCAGCAGGAGGAGGACCACAGCAAACAGCTACAAATGGTTGAGGAGACGCGCCTACGTTTCAAAGCCATCGACGAGGCCAGAGGTGCGGGAGCTTCCGATGGCAGGACCAGCCTTCTCAGTGAGATCCTGCAGGAGAAGGAATCAGTGCTCAGTCGCGCCTTTCTGGCCCGCCAGGAGCAGGAACAGGAGGTGAAGCAGATCAACCGGATGATCCTGGACGCCAAGTGTAAGGCAGTGAGGGAGGCGCAGATCCAGGAAAAGCACCTCCTCTCCAAGGCTCTGCGCGAGGACGACGAGCGACTGGCTCGCATGGTCAATGAGCGCGCTAAAAAGGCACTGACAGAAGAGGATGAGCGGGAGCGACTAGAGGTGGAGAAACGTAACCGCTACGCCCAGGAAATCCGGCAGCAGCTCTCAGAGCGTGAAAATGTTCGTTACTTGGAGGCCAAGCGGGTGGCCGACGAGGCCAAGGACATCCGTCGCGCCACCGAACTACTACGTGGCCAGGAGGAGCAACAGCGGGCTTTTGCCCAAATGCGTAAACAGCGATTCCGGGAGGAGCTGCAACGCATCCGGGACATGTCGAACGTCTTCAAAACGATGCTCAGTGAACAGGAGCGATTAGCCGACCTGCGGGTAACCGCTTACATGAGGGAGAAGCAGGAGAAGGAGCGCCAACTGAAGGAAATGCAGCGTCTGGCCAAAAAGGAGTTTGAGCGCCGCCAGCAGCGCATCTTCACGGTGGCTGCAGAGGCCATGGAGACGCGCCAGACCAACGATGAACTGAAGTATCTGAAGGAGCGGGATCGCGTGGAGCGTGAGTACCGCCAAAAGGAAAAGGAGGCGGCAATCTCGCGAAGAGAGGCAGAGCGGGATCTGCTGGAGTCGCGAGCCCAGCAGGCCCAGGAGATGAAGCAGCGCCTGGCCCTAGAGATTGCCCACGCCGGGGAAGAGTTCGCCAAGGTCATGGAGCGGATGCGCAAAGAGGAGGAGCAACAGAAGGCGATGGATCGTCAGCGAGACGCCCAACGGCAAGTGTACCGACAGGATCTGCGCCAGCAGATGACCGACAAGCAGGCGGAGCGCCGCCGTCTAGCTGAGTTGGAGGCCGGACGTGTGCAGAAGTGGCTTGACCAGGAGAAGCAGCGGGACGCCAACATCCAGCAGGTAATCAACGCCAAGATCGCTGCAATGAGAGAGAATTGTCTGCCAGAGAAGTATCTGCGGGAGGTGGAGAAGCAACTGAAGAGCATTCAAGGCACCCGTAATCGGATCCGCTGAGAAGGATAAGAAGGTTGCCTAATATCGGGAGGTCTGGAAAAGCCAGAAGTTGGGGCCAACCAGCGCCTGAAAGTATGTGGCATACGCCATTCACTTTTACCGTAAGGTTTCAGAATAAATTTCACTTCGATTGCACGAGGTTTAATGCAGTTAAAATACTCAAATTGTGTTGTTAAGATGCTAGTATGTACGAATGGATTTAAAAATTATAAAAATAAACCAATGAAAAACTTAAAGCATTCTAAGCGGGCAAGAAACTTTTTCAAGGTCGGAGGGGTAGCTTTACTCAGATCTCCGCCATCCCTGAAGGTTCCAAGCCGACATGCGGCCTAAAAGTATGCTATAAAACTGCCAGCCGAAAGTAGCTGGCAAAGCGAAATCAAAGAACCGCCATGATGACGATGACATTGTTGCGCGTGCGGCGGAGAAGCCCGCCCGCACACCACGCTAATTTCCAACTATGTGGGCGTTTAGGCCACCTCCCACCCAACCCATTTTCCCCGCGGGTGGGAGGGAAAAACTACTGACTGGATGCCATGGAAAAAGTGGTAGCCAACTTTTGGCTACAATAAAATTTTATTATGCCACACACATACGCTGAGCGTACACAAGCAAACAATGGAAAGACGAAGATGAAGCTGAAGCAGAAGCTGGAGCTCGAGTGAAAGATGCCACCGCTAGCGACAACGGCAACGACGAACTCTTGTGCATGGTTCAATTATCGTATTTCATGATTCGTTAAATTTTCGCATACGCCAAAAAAATACGCAAGATAAGCCCCACACCGCCCACCACCCTGCAGCCACCACTCAGCACTCAGTACTCACTGCTCAGTACCACCTACAACCCACAACCCACAGCCACCCAGCAGGCTGCGGGCAAAGAAAAGCCAGGCGAGGAACAGGTTTCCCCTGGCAACCATTGTGATTCCTACCTACGACATGTCGGGGACCCGCAGAGGGGCTCTTTGCCTCGGCCTGGCCTGGGCCTGGGATTGCCTGCCACTCGCATATGCCAGTAATAATTCCAATGACAATAAACGTTGTCGTATTTACAAGTACCAACACACACACTCTGACGTGAATTGATGAGAAAAGTTTTGAGGAAATGTCAATAGAGAAGCGGAGACAAACTATGCTCCGATGTGCGAGGGAGTCTGCCACGGACTGTGGAGCCCAGCCTGAAGATTCCGAGTGAACGTCGAGAGGTCTGCTTGGATGTAGCCTACACTGAGAGGCATCAGTAATGTGTATTAAATATATTTATTTGTATAACCAAAATGATTAAGTAACAATGAAAGTTGCTCATTGTCTGCAATACCCAGCTGAAACTTAAAGCCAAAGTTTGAACAAAAAACTTTCTTGGAGTTAAGACTTTTTTTATCTGTGTAAGACGTGCCTAGCCCACTGTGCGGCATCTTTGGCATTTATAAATATCGTGCTGGGCAAAAAGGTAAAAGCCAAAAATATCGATATTGTAATTGGAAAAAAGTAAGACGCAGCTGGTTTGGAGTGCACTGCAGTCCACATCACCCTTTCGAATTCCCTCAAAATGTATCTGCAAGATTGCACACAATTGTTTTGTATTAGCAAAGTGATTCCTTCCCTCGGATCGCTCCAGTTCGGTTTGTCCTGCTTGCGTTGGGCTTACTACGGTGAGGTACCTCCGATATGTGTGCTTAAAAATAAATTGCTCGGCTTTAGTTCTGCGTTTATTCCTATGGCTTTTCTTTTGTAGTTGCGGTCTGGTTTATCTGCCGCAGCCACAGAAGCCTTTTCCCCCGCCCATTGCCCCTTTGTTGTACTCTTGGGTAGTTCAAAGCGGCGCAAGACAGATGAGCAAAGTGGTTTCGGTATCTGGATCTGTAACCGTACATCTGCAGAGACCTCCAAGAGCTCCATCCATATCTAGGTGACTGGGTAATGGGTCTCAATTGCGCCTCAAATTTAAGACATCAATCGTGCGTCCGTTTGCATATCAATACGGGGGAAACGAAATTGAAAATCAATATAAATGAGGAAGCCGCTTGATTGGACCGCCGGGGAGGTGTCGCTGCGAAATGGATTTGTGGAGGTCACCGGTAGGAAGCTGCGCATTGAGTGGCAGATTGAGCGCAAAAATAGCGAATTATAAATAGACCAAATTCGGTCTAATTGAACATGGCAAATCAATAGAGTTTTCTGGGGGAAATGTCGAAGTGGTCTTAAATTGAATACGGCAATCAAAGAATGTCGTTTACGGGGATGATTGATGGCCTGCCGATGCTATCTGCTTCATCTACAGAAACTTCTGTCTTTCTTTCCACCCTTCTAATCCAACCGATAAGGAGGAGCGTGCACCTGCCGAAAGTGGCGCCAACTTCCCAGAGACCCTCCCATCGGTTAGGCCCTGCGAATCTTGGGTGTGTGGCTATTCTGTGGCATGTGGGGAACGGGTAGGGGAAACGACTTGTGCGATTATGAAATACATAACTCCGATTAGATACGGGACACGCTTGAGACATATGCAATTAGTCGGCCGAGAAATATTTATTTTCCTTTTCTGCGATGTGGAATGTGTTCAAGTGGTATTATGACCACAATTACATATTTATTTATCTATCTATCTGATAGGCGGCGTTCTTATCTAGCCTTTGTTTATAGACAATCTAGCCAGAACTTGCCATAAGACTCTGCTTCGACAAAGGGGTTTCCTGGAATCGTGGTCGAGCTGCAAAACCCGACCGCTGCGGAATGTCGAGGTCCTAAACCTAAAAAACTCCACCTCGTAAATCATTTGGGCAATAAATATTTATTCAGCCTGTAGAGCAAACACTTACATTAAGCCTTAAAATCTGTCGAGGGGCAAACATAATTAACATAAAACAAATAATAAAATTAAACTCGACTCAATTGATTTGTTCATAAATCTCGCGCCTCGCATCCATCCTCGCATGCGACAGTTTTTCGAAGCTGTGGAGCTGCTGAGCTGCTGAGCTGCCCAGCTCTAAGCTCGTGCATTATTTATTATTAAAAATGCATTATCGGCCAGAAGGCGCTGCAGCCGGCGTCGCTGCCTCGAGATTGCCGCAGCTGATTGGCGCTGGAGCTGTAGCGGGAGCTCCACGTTGGCGGGCTGGCCACTTCAAAAGCGGCAGTGGCGACTGCGACGTGACTGCGGCATTGTTTACAAACAAACAAGTCGCCAGTAGCTGGAGAGCCAGTGGCTTCGCCAAGATACAGAGCCCCGATCTGGCTTTGCGACATCGGCGGCAGATACTTTTGGCGAGATACTCGCTCATAGCCAAAATTCTTGCGATTCGCCTTCCAGCCTTGAAGGCCGAATCGTTTTCCCGGATCGGAGGCGAGGTTGCACAACCGATTGGTCGCTGTGGAATTCGAAGGAGGAGGTGTGGGGGTGGACAGTGGCATATCAGGTAGAGAGTGCGCCGCGCGCTTATCACATATTTCTGTTTGCTTCGATTTCTAAATGGAAAAATAGTCGAAATAGCAGCCGGCAGGCCGATAAGCCTGATTATTCCTCATTCGCCCCGGTTTCCAGCTTACTGTCTTAGACGACGTGGGTCAGATCCGTGGGTGGAGTGGAGGGGCGCGATACTTGCAGCTTGAAGTCCTCGTCATCGTCGTCGTCCTCTTTGTGAGAATCGTGCGAGTCGTGTGAGTCCTCCGAGTCCCTGGAGTCCTCTATATCCGAGTCCTGAATGTCGTCCAAGGGGGTGGTAGTGGTCATGGAAGCAGAGGCAGCAGCCGCCAGGAAGTGAACCTTGGCGGAGGCCGTTGAGTTGTTGTTGTCCGCCATCAGTTGATGGTGCAGGTGGTGGCTGTAGTTCAGGGCAGGCGGGCAGCTGCCTGCGGGACGAGTGCGACGACGCAGAAGATTACCTACATAGGCGGCGGTTATGGTAGCGTAGGTCACTCCGAGCAGCGCTCCGGCCAGGACATCGGACCAATGGTGCCAATAGTCGGCCACTCGGCTCAGGGAAACGCACAGGGCGGCCATTAAGAGCAGGAACTGCAGGACGTGGCGCAGGACGCGGACTCCACCCCGACTCCGCCAGACACCGTGGACATACAGGGCCAGGAGTACCATCGAATAGAAGCTCAGGCTACTGTGGGCACTTGGGAAGCTGACGTGCAGCTCGCGGATCTGCCGCGTGGAGAGGTTGTGGTTGGAGCAGTGGAACTGTTCCACGTACAGATCGGCATTCTGGGGATCTGAACAGGTGCTGCCATCATCAAGACGCGGCTGGCAGCCGTGAAAGAAGTGCGGTCTTAGCCTGCCCACCGCGTGCTTGGCCATCTCCGTGGTCAAATAGGTGGCAATGAAGCCGAAGCTGAAGGTGGCCTCCGCCCGCCATAGATTGCGCAGGTAGAGGCGGGTGCGGAAGCGCTTGCAGATGCGCATGATCTCCACCACGGCCACGAAGAGCATCGGCATCAGAAGCATCATGACCAGGAGCATGGGCACCGTGATGGTGCAGTCCTTGTAAGGATACCGGATACTGAGGTCCGAGCAAAAGAACCCCCTCTTGAAGGTGTGCATGACGTCGAGTGGCTTTTCCTCTGATTTATATATTTTAGCCGCGTGCTTATCGCGTGGGTTCAAGCCAATCGCTTGACACTTGGCACTGGTTTCTGCGACAGTACATGTGTTTCTATTTTTCACGCCCAATATCTGTGGCCATTCGCTCTTTCGATTCACTTATTTTTCGGCTGTCACACAAATTGCGCACTTACTCGCCGGGCCCGACCCGAGCACTTTTTATTGCGATTTTCGCTTTCGAAAGCCCGCGCACGATTTCCCAGGCCGGGTTCAAAGGCGATTTTCTTCGCGGCAAATTAGCGAATTACGGCTAACAGCCGTCAGTCAGTTGGCAGTTGGCTCTCGGTCTGCACCGCCTCTTGTACTGTAAGCCCATGAACCAATGGCAGCCGGCCCAGCGAACCACGATCGAACCGCTTCGTCCGCACTCCGTTTCGACGTCTATGGGGCTCTGGGCCGCTCTGACGCTTTGTTTTGGATCGTCGGCGAATGTGACTAGCTCACTGGCTGTGACAGCGACTGCGGCTGCGGCTGCGACTGCAAAGGCGACGATCGCTGCCGAGCTGCCGGTAGCGACTGCCCCGCGATTTGGAAGCAGGCACTCGCTCTACGGTCTACGGTCTACGGTCTACACTCTACGGTCTGCGGCCTACGGTCTGTGGATCGGAGAACCCAAACAAAGTTGAATCTGAGAGACGGCCCACCGCGTCGAAGGTTCCCAGCACTGTGTGCTATTCGCATTGATATTGGATTTCAATGGTACTTGTGCTTGTACTCCTTATCACGACAGCGCTCTCAGTTCGCTGCTACACTGAGAAAGAAAAGTTATCTCGCTATCAAAAAAAATTGTAAGTATAAAACAAAAGCTAATCGGTGGATGAATCTAGATAGCCATAAGCCATAAATTGAATGCCGATGAAAATTGGCACTAAAAAGATTTCCAGAAAATTAGAACAGAACAAAACGGGACACAGATCTTATAGAACTTCCTTGAAATCGTCGTTATATCTTTAAAATGAAGAAAAAGGGGATTCCAGCTCAGGTAAAAAAGGTTGATTATGGACAATGGTTTTTGGTTCACCTCTGAAAAAGTTGCTGACAAAATAAAAGTAGTCTGAATATCTTCCCCCAGCAATATTATAATCACATTCCCAATTACTTTTAATATTTATCCCATAAAAGGGACAAACGAATGTACAAGAGAATCCTAGAGCCTTTGAGATCGACAAATAAATAATCTTTCAGTGTACGCCCTCTCAGGCTCACTGCTCTTGCCGACTGTTGGCTTTGGCACGAACGTTGCTAATGAGGAAACTATTGAATTGTTTCAAGGTTTGCTCTGCTCAGTTTGCTTAGGCTTGTTTGCCTGCGTCTTGGTCTTGGCATTTGCGCATAATGAAAGAGTTGCATTCGAGCCGCTCGAAGTGCGGACGCTCAGGCAAATGGATGAGGATGCGAGGATGGAAGTGACTCAGATGGGAGGCGCGGAGGAGTTCCTTCGACTGCCTGCGGTGGCCAGAGGAGTAGGTCATTCCGACGGGATTTAAGACGGCGGCTGCTGCGCTGCGTGCCTTTGTGGCATTTGTGTTGATGTAGGTCGTTGCTCGAACCCAATGTGAGCGACTGAGTAAGCGGACCTCAGCGAAGTGGATTCTGTAGTAATGGAGACGAAGGCAAACACTGGCCAGGCCCCGAATGGTGAAGCTGGAGCTAGAGCTGGAGCTGGAGCTGTAACTGAGGCTGGGCCGCAGTGCATAAACTGCAGCCAGTTTATGGCCACTTTGTATTTGCACTACGAATCGGGCTTCTTTATGGCAATTTTCAACTGCTCAATTTACATCGGAATTGCTGTGCTTGCAACTATTTGCTGTTAATTTATGCTAATTTCGGAGTACCACTGAAAGGAAATCACTCCTAGAAATGGTCGGACAATAGGAATGCAGACCACGGATATGAAAATGACCAAGACGAGGGTTCCTGGTTCACTAAAACGTCGCCCGGGGTTGTTGATCGGCACTAGGTATTTATTTATTGTTTAACTTATTCAGGAATCAGTCATCTATAGTTAATGGAAGTTAGGGATACATAGTTACTTATCAATTTTATATTTATTTTATATTATTATCAATAAATATATCTTAAGCAAAGTGACTTTTAGGTGTATTGCAAAGAATTCACATTCTCATCGATAAGCAAACACCGTCGCTTTCCATTCTTATGATAGTACTAAAAGCAGTAGCAATAACTTAAAATATCCATAAAATCTGAAAACTGTTTTGGGAAGCAAAACGAATCCATAATAGCTAAGTAGGATTTTAATGTTCACTTCATTGTAGAACAATGTTTGTAGGCTAAAGTAATTGAGACAAAAAGCGATTGACAATCATTGGCAAAACTTCTAGGTTGATCTCGTTACTTAACACAGAACGGTAACCGCTATGCTGGGTGTACTGTAAGCTGATCTCCGCAGAAATGGCAACACGAGATCCGCCCCTTTACGAAGTCGTATCAATGAACGACCGCAGCACGCGCCAAAAACGAGTCTTCATGATCATCTTTGTGGTAATCATGACTTCCCCGAGAAGCCGGCGGGCTGGTCGTAAGGTTTCTGGTTTTATATGGCTGTGGGATCTTCTTTAGTGACACCTTCGACTGAGGCAACGTTAAATCAAAATTTATTATTGACATAATTCGTTAAATACGCAGATCCAGCGGGTATTTGTCGTCGATTGCACAACCCACGCGATTTTCTGGGTCTGGTATCCAGTAAGTAAGTAAATAATCTCTATGTCCCACTCCCCAGGTCCCTCCCAGACTGAGGCAAACAAGTAAATCTGACTCGGCACATGTAGGAATTGGTTTCGGGTTTTGCGAACCAAAGAAGCACTTCCTGTCCGGCAAAAAGTGAAACTGCTGAGGCAATTATTTCCCAACCAAAGTGTTTATTTCTGTGGCGGTTGCACTTCTCCTGCTACCCCCTGCTGATAAGGAAAGTGTACGAATTTGCTCGGCGATGTGTGAGCGTGAAATCGCGATGTCCAGCTGATAGCAGATCGGACGCAAGTCGGCGAGAATGTTGCGACGCAGTTTGCAGGTGAGAACCCGATTCGATTCGATCCGATCCAATACAGATTCATATGCAGCCCCCCTCCCGAGGGAAGCATTTGGCATTGGCATTCCGCGATTAGCATGGGGAAATCTGTTTGAGCTGCGACAATAGGCCGCTGTTGACACTACGCCGACGTCGAGATTTGCAATTGTGAGTTTGCGGCCCTTGAGTGTTTTTTCCGAGCGGAACTGATAAGAAAGCGTTAGGTGCGTACTTCTTATCAGGTGGATGAAAAGGAAGTTAACGACTGGGACGGGAAGTGCTACTTATTAGCCAGGTGCCGTTCGTCGTCAGCGATTAGTGAGCTGTGAGTAAGAAGAGCTGACGTTTCCAGATCAATTCGTCAGGGGAGCAACAATAACTGGCCGCAAATCCCCTCAAGGTCTGCGAACCTATCCTAACGCAAAGTGTTCTGCGGATTGAGCAATTTAAGCGAGATCGACTGGAATTGATTTTAATTCCCTGCACGTGCAATGCACCCAATCGATGCAGAGCCAGAAACCCATTTGGAGATGTCTCTCTGTGATTAACAAGTATTAATAATACTATCAGTAATTAGTAAGTAGTGAAGTAACTTTGTGGACTCTTTGCAACAGGCAATGACCCAGAAAGCATTCTGTCAAACTACTGAAATGGCAATTTTCCAAAACCAGCAATAATTTAAAACCAAAGTAATTGCCTCAAATAAAGAACTAAGTAAATTGTCGCTTTTGGCACTTTAAAATTGTTTATGAAGCGGACCCCCATTTCTAATTTTCAATCACGATATTTACTTGGGTAAGCACAAATTATGGTAGACATCGAACTTTATATAATAATAAAATAAATTACAAAAATTCAAAAATAAAGTTGATTAAATTCCTAAGAAATTTCGATATTGCTAAATTGCTGTATCAGAAACCGCCAATTTTGAATTATTTTACCAATAAATATGAGGAATTAATTGAATTTACGTTAAGTTGGATTATAAGTTTTGTTAAAGGTACAATGACTCCAAATCTTAATGACTTAGTTATTATTTGAATAACTAAATAACTAACTAATGAATAACTAACTAACTCCTGCTAATTATTTATCATTTTGTTTTTAAATTAGGTTCATGAAATAAAAATAAACAATAAACAATAATAGATTATAAATAGATTTACTTGATTTGACACTAATTTATGTAATTCAAGATAAAGATAAAATTAATAAATGGTCTTTTCAAACTTGTTTTTTAGTACATTTAAAAATTCTAAATAAATGTACCTCTTCTTAAACCTTTGAGTTAAATGTATGCCGAAACTGTTTTACAAAAGACATTAACAAAGAATTCTAAAATAAATAAATTGAAAACTTTTCTACAAAAACTGTATAAAACACTGCTTAGAAACAGCCTTATTACGGGTATCCCCTTGTCGCCAGCTAAATTCGAGTGATAAAGACTTCGGCTTCAAAGAGGTAAAACCTAAATGCTCACTTTAATGACTATCCTTAGAGCTCTTGGAATTTGCATGCGAAGTGCACGAATGAATAATATTTGTTCGAATCAAATGAAAACGAATACATGAAGCAGAAGGAGCTAGTTCACTTTTACATAATTAGTCGTGTTTAGTCAAATTGCTTGAGGAAACACATCGTATTACGTTTAGTTATAAATGCATTTTGTAATTCCCCGAATATAAAGTTAAGGGAACGGGTAAAAATATATATTCATAAATATTTAAAAGCGATCGGATAAAAACACATAAAATGAATTAAGCACACTCAGTCCTACCATCCCATTCTACTTAATTAGGTTTAGTAATATATTTAATTTAAGACAAACACCACCGGATAAAATGCCCTTTCCCAACCCGAAAAGTGTAGGAGATAGTATAATTAATAATTTTTAAAAAAGACTTATTAAATTGATGTCGTCTTAAATATATATTTTATTTAAGTAATTACCGAATCAAGTTTAATATAAAAGGCATTAACAAACAAGTATAAGCGTAATATAAATACTTTAAAAAGACTTTCTTCAAGGGATGCTCTGATAAGCTGGAAAACCCTCAGACAAAAATATTTAAACATAAAACAATCATCAAGAAGACTTAATTGTTTACAGTTCATCATTATAATTCGAACGCGGCAATGGTTAAATCAATTGACAAACTTTGATTTTAAAGTCTTTTAACTTAAATGTTTGCCTGCGTTCAAAAATACATTATCATAATGACTAAATTACCAGGCAAATACTAAAAAAATAATTTTTTAATAAACACCGAATTATGGCCGAAACTCGACGTTGATTTTACAAGGTAACGAGCCGCATCGCCTCCCCCTTCCGCTCCGCTCCGGCCCTGTTAGCCGGTCGTTTCAATTAGCAAACCCATAAAAATAACCAGCCAAAAGAATCCCAAAGCCAGCAATCCGGTTTCCCCCTCGGCAATTGGCGATCGTCAGGTGGAGGCAGAGCTTTAAGCTTCGTGAGACGTCACACCTGGGAAGCGTCAAAGCCAAGAATTTTTCGGAATGCACATCCGACTTGGCGACGTCATAGAACAGGTGCGAACTCACCTGCAGTCCCCCGTCCATCGTTTCTCCCCCTCTGCCTTCTGACGATCCAAGCCGCGGAGTGAATCACTGGACGAGAAATGCCTAAAAGTGAAAATTCCCAAAGCTCAGCTCCAATCGATGAGCGACTCATCGGAGCAATTAACCAGCGGCAAGCCGAAATTACCACACTTGAGTGGTGCCCATCGTGGTTCCAGTGGGTTTTTCTGCCTTTCTTGTGTCGGTTCCACTTGCTGCCCACTAGGAAATTATGCACACGCACCAAAAAGTGCACGATCTGCAGCGAAAGGCCGCCAGAACCGAAGACTCTCTCCGCAGAAACCAGTTGGGATCTCTTCTTGCGGAGTCTTATCTGCGTTGGACCTCGCCAAGATTTTCTCCTGGCTCGTGAGTATGAGCCATAAGTGAAACCAGTTTCTCAATCCGCAAACAACGGAGTGCGAAGTGGGTGTTGCAGTCCGAGATCTGTTTATTTTTGCGCTGATTATAGAAGAAATACGAGTGCCCAAGCTATCTTTTCGTTTATACGAAATCTGAGGGGCATGGAGTTTGCATTTCTGGGGCTGCACCTCGAGAATTTTCGCAACCCACATAGAATTTGATTGCCCTTTGTCCGCCAATTAGCTGTACTGTCGGCGCAATTGACTCGCTTGTAATTAAGAAAAACAAAAACCGAAAAAACGGCAAACAAATGTTTATGGCATGACGGGGGAAGGGAGTCTCCGCAGTTGCCACAGCAACACCACCAGAAATAAAAACAACTGCGGTACGAGGCACTCACGCACAAGCGTTAAACCGACGGACCGCAAGCTCTGCGAGAGAGAGAAGCAGCAAATCACGGCCAGGTTGGGCGACTCACCAGCCTCGCTCGGTTAGTTAAGCGCGGTTTGTCAGCCGGTCGAGTCGATCTGCTGTTCGGGCGGTACGTGAATCCCAGCCATGTCCAAGTACTCGAAGCTGGCCCGCGGGCTCTGCGACCTGCTGATCTGGGTGGCCCTCAGCGTGGCCAGCGTGCTTCTCCACAAGCTAGTGCGTCCCTTCCGACGCGGCTTCTTTTGCGGCGACGAGTCCCTGAGCTATCCGTACCGCGACAGTACCATTGGCCACGAACTGATCATCGCCATCGCCCTGGGCGTGCCCACCGCCGTGATCGCGGTGGTTGAGCTCTTCAAGCAACTTCCCGCCGGACCGCTGCGGGAGTCGGGCGGAAAGAAGGACTCCGGCTGCCGGATTGCCCACCGACTGGGCCACCTATACAGGCAGGCCATCTTCTACCTCTACGGCCTGGCTATGGTCACGTTCACCATGATGCTCTCGAAGCTTTGTATCGGTCGTCTGCGTCCACACTTCTTTGCCGTTTGCCAGCCCATGTTGCCGGATGGGAGCAGCTGCCAGGACGCACAGAACTTGGGTCGCTATATCGACAGCTTTACGTGCAGCAACGCCAACATGACCGACTTCCAGTTCAAGCAGCTCAACCAGTCCTTCCCCAGCGGACATGCCAGCATGGCCATGTATGCGATGCTCTACCTGGCCATCTACCTGCAGGCAGCGCTCAGCACGCGAGTTTCCAAGCTGCTGAAGCACCTGCTGCAGTTCCTTTTCGTGATGTTCGGCTGGTACGTCTCGCTGACTAGGATAACCGACTACTTCCACCACTGGAGCGATGTCCTGGCGGGGGCGGTATTGGGCGCGCTGTTCGCCTGGTTGACCAGTGCCTACATAGCCGACCTGTTCGCCGGCAGGCGCTGGCCCAAAACTGGCTACTCGGCCAACACGTTGCGCAAGCCGCAGGTGTCCCCCAAGAGCTCCACCAAGTCCCAGGCGGGAGCATCTACTGCAGGAGTAGGTCAACCGCCCGCCCTGCCCGCCTACACCTTCGGAACGCTACCCTACCTGGCTCACCCGGCACAGGCGCAGGCGCAGTACGCCCAAACCTATCACAACTACGGCTACGTGCCCTGAGGTCTCTTCCGGACTTCACTAGCAAAACCTAGCTTAGATATCCCACAAACACACAAAAACCCTCACACTCAACTCACAAACAAAGACCTGTCCGGGATTCCTGTTTGGTTGTCTGTATTCTAGCAAATAAATATTCAAGTACGATCGGACTGGCAGCTTGTTTCAGTCGGAAGAATGGCGCATCGAAAAGTGGCTAAATGGCCAAGTGGAATAGAAAGTGTTTCATCGATTGGCAGACGAAGGCCCACTTCGCATACTTTCGAAAGTTTGGCCGCAGAATCTTGGAGCTGGTGCTTATATTCATCGTATTAAGTGGGAATCAAAGTCCAGGCTTACCTGCAAAGAGGAGAAGAACAGAAGGGCTTTGATAACAATGGATTCGCATTCCTGAGGTGTTACAGCAGACATATTCTGGGAGATAATACATTTGAGATCGAATATAGGTTGCTAATATTTACAGTTACTCTTGTTTTTGTCCAGAAAGCCATAGTAACAAGTTCAGAGTGGGCAAAAACACCTGCCCGTATGGGTCGAACCAAGATATTATTGGGTGTCAGCCTTTGAAAATACCCTACAAAATATATTCTACGTTTTTCTACGACTATCTTTATTAATCTATCTTCTTTGAAGGTTTAATCTGTTGAAAATGATTAAATAATGTTATTTTAGTAGACAATTTATCAAGCTATCAGCACAATGAGAATCTTTAAAACTTTTGCGAGGAATATTATTTAGTTTACTCAAATTAAGATTTGCCACAGAGTGTTAAAAATCAAGAAAATTGTAGAATAAATTATCAGAGCCTTAGCATATTTGAGCCATCGATAAGCGAGCGAGAACCACGGCCCGATCAGAGGGAAAAGCAAAACAAAGGTTTGTAAAACAAGTTTGTGTGGCAGTAACCTCCAACACGGCTGGACAGATGGAAATGCAAATGAGTCCGAACCAGGTCGAAAGAATCGGACAGCCTCGGTCCGTCCATTTTTCAGTCTGAAAATGTGCGGCAATCCGAACACGCGTCTGCTTTCTCGGCTGGTCATCGACTTCCTGATCCTCCTGGGGATATATGGAGCAGCTCTGGTGGTTTTGCCCCAGCAGCTGTCCACGGCCCAAAGGGGATTTCACTGCAGCGATGCCAGCCTGAAGTATCCGTATCGCCAGCCCTGGCTGACCAAGGTGCACCTGACTATCGGAGTGGTGGCCCTGCCCGCGGCTTTCGTGCTCGTGGTGGAGATGCTTAGGGCCGCCGTGGTGCCCAGATCTGCGGAGCTAAAGCAGCGCTTCGTCTTCGTTGGCGTCCGCATCCCCAGCTTCATAAGCGAGTGTTACAAGGCCGTGGGCGTGTACCTCTTTGGTCTGGGACTGACCTTGTTGGCCATACGGTTGACTAAGCACTCGACTGGTCGGCTGAGGCCCTACTTCTTTGACGTCTGCCAGCCCAGGTGGGGCGAGGAGGGAGGCGAAAGCTGCTCCGGTCTGCCTGTGGAAAACTCCACGCGGTACTTCGAGGACTTCAGTTGCACAGAGTTCGCCGCTTCAGAGGACTTGCTTGGGATAGTGCGCCACTCCTTCCCCAGCGGATTTGTGTCCAGCTCCAGCTACGCCATGGGCTTCCTGGTTCTCTATTCCCAGGCTAGGCTCTTCGCTCCTTGGCTGCGATTAGTTCGATCCACTCTGCAACTGGCCTGTGGCTCGCTGGCCCTGGTGGTCTGCTGGGAGCGCATCTCGACCTACCAGAATCACCTGACGGACGTGGCGGCGGGTGCTGCTCTCGGCGGGGTAATGGCCCTCTTCGCCACGGTCCTCGTAGGCCGCCTTTTCGAGGAGGTGCGCGTGAAGCGGCGTCAGTGGCCAAGAAACGAACAGATTTACGGCTACGCGGGGTACTACAACAGAGCCACTTATGGCTACTGATCGGCGATGGGTTGGCTTTACTAGAATTAGCTTTGGTAATAAAACGATTTTAATTTATTAACGCAACCAGTTTCCGATTAGTTAATAGCGGAGGAGGAGGGTCCGAGGAACGGGATGTTAATTGCTTGTAAACGACGGCAGCGATTCTGGCTTGGAGGGTTTGCCCAGTCTCCGATTTCGATCTAATTTGACGAAATGCTTTTTGATAACAGGGAAACTAGTTTTAGTTCTGGTACTATAGAGTCAAAAAGAGTCTCCTATAGTCCTAAGTCCTCTATTTTTCCTCTTTCTCTATCTAAGAATTCGTTTTAATGGGTCAAACGCTTTTGATAAACAATATTCCTCCAGTATTTTTGAAGTGAAAGGCCTTCAAAGATTAAGCTACAAAATTCGCCAAGAAAAAAGTTATAAAAGTGCAAAATAGAACACGACAAAAGCATTAAAAAAATATAAATAATGGAGGTAAAAAGGGACTGAATGGATCTTTAATTGTAAACCATATTTTACATTAAATTAAAATTCTCTTAAATATTATTTATACAACTACCCGAATATTGCAAAATCAACGAGTTTTGGTAAATTTGAGCCATTATTTTCTAGAGGGTAGATATATAGGATGTGGAAGCTTCGTCTATGCTGACTTAAAGTTGATTGATATGATATATTCTTTAGATGGTCTTGAACTTTTTCACTACATAACAAATATCAAACCAAAGTCAAGACAAAAAGTATCTGAGGAAATGACAATTAACTATTTTAGATTAGTATAAAAGTCATAATTGATCATCGACTCATATAACCAAACACGTTTATATCCAATTTTTAGTGAATGTTTATATTTATATATTGCACTTTCACACTAAACAATATTCAAGATTCAACCTACCCCAACTCGTTCGAAAGCTCTCAAGCTTAACTACTGACAGTCAACTGTAGAATGCAATTGGGTTTAGCCGCGTTCCGAACCTTTCGTCGCTTAGGATCCACTCAACAAGTGGTGATCGCCTCCATCTGACATGGCAGCTGACCAGCGTCCACAACCACCTCTCTTTCCGTCCGACTCAATCCAATCAATAAGTTTCTCTCCCTCTCAGCCAGTGGCGGACGCCGGTACAAGAGCAGTCTTTGGATTTGTTTACAACGCTGCCTCTATTCATTCAGTCGCGATCGCGAAGCGGCGCTTCAAAGTTTACAGATCGTGTTCGAACGGGTTGTAAAATCGGTAGCTAACCTCGTTAGGCGAATAAATTGTCGTAAAGGTGGACAGTTATTCAATTAATCGGATCTGTACGTGATATTCGAAATAATAACACCATCGTGATGGTATTTAAACAAAGAGCCATTGTACAAGTTTCCATAAAAGTAACTTAGTGCTTCTTTTTGTAAGCTCAAAGTTCAGGGGTCACTTAGCCATACCAGAATACTAAAATAAGTAAAGACGGTTAAGCGCCACGGAGTCCCTGTTTTAATATGTATGCTCCACAGAGTCCGCCAGTTCATATGAATATGCTCAGTGGTGGTAGTTGAAGGGGAGGGAGGGGCAGGCCTTAATTCAATCAAATGTCGCTTATTCATTCAATTAAAGGTCGCGCCATTTGACGTCCCACTATGAATGCGTCTGTGAATACGAATATCAAAGCGGGTGAGTGTGTCCGAGCATCGAAGCCAAGACGGCGACTCTGGGGAGGATTCGGGGTCCATTTTCCACTTTTTAATGTAATTGACAGTTAAACTTTGTGCACATGTTCGGCTGAAGCTCCCACTCCGGGATGTCATGCAGATCAGCAGCTGGTAGAGAGAAGGGGCCACAATGGGGGCCATTCTTGGCGAGAGATTAGCGAGAGCGCTCCGTCAAGCAGGGTTGCCAGTCCGCGGCCCCGATAATGCAAATCTTATGGAGTCGCGCCTATTGAACGGCTGGCTGCCCTAGAACAATAGTACGCCTTTTAATGAGTAACCCCTGAGTCAGCGTGCTGACCCGCTCTTATCGATGTTTTAGCGCTCCTTAGTGGCTTATCAATGGAAAGAAAAGAAAACTATTTCAGATCTCGAGAAGATACTGACAGAGCTTCTGAGTAATCAGAAAAGCGCTGAATTGCAGTGATTTGGCACTAAAGAAGCTTTCGCCACTGGCATGCACACTCTAATTTATCTTATCAAAGTGATCTTGAGCTTGTTTGAGCCCCTGCACTGTGAGAAATGGGGTCCAGAAAGGTGTATTTTTTTTTTGCAATTCACACCATTGAGCATGACGACTTTTAACTGATATAATTTTCATTTCAGTGGCTTCTGGCTCTTGTCTAATCTAGGCAGAAGAGCAACCGCAACAATACCGATATCCCCGCAGACGGCTAACTACCATAAAATAGGCCATAAACAAATTGCTCTGACGCAGAGAATAAAAAACAGCCCAAGTGGAGAGAGAGAGTCGAGCGGAGGGAGCTAAAAAACAATGCCGGGAGAGTACCGCCTATCAAATGAGCGTTAAATTAAAAGATCGTTACCCAACGACGCCAACTCAGTCAGCCACTGACAACGAACCCGGAGCAACGAACACTCGCGACGGGTAAAATCCAAACGAAACGAAAACCTAATTACCAGCGAGCATAAAGGCCATTTGGAGTATTAACTAATTAAGCCAGCGAAATGCGCAACCCGGGCGAAGATCAATCCATAGCCGTCTCCATGCCGACAAGCGCGTCTGTCGCCGGTTCAAGTGGAGCGGCATCTGACCGTCGGTTGATACAGCGCCTGCTCATGGAACTCCTGGTGATGGTAATCCTCATAATTCCCATCTGTGTGTACGAGTTTGCGGTGGATCCAGTCACTCGCGGATTCTTCTGCGACGACGAGAGCATCAACTATCCGTTCCAGGACAACACCATTACGCCTGTGATGCTCGGTTTGATCGTGGGCCTTCTGCCGGCCATAATTTTCGTGGTGGTGGAGTATGTGACCCAACTGAGAGCCGGAGACATCTCCTCCACGGTGGATTACCTTGGCTGGCGAGTCTCCACCTGGTACGTTGAGCTGGGCCGCCAGTTCTCCTACTTCTGCTTTGGCCTGCTACTCACCTTTGATGCCACCGAGGTGGGCAAGTATACCATCGGGCGCCTAAGGCCTCACTTTATGGCCGTTTGCCAGCCGCAGCTGATGGATGATAGCACGTGCTCCGATCCAGTCAACCTGCACCGCTACGTGGAGAACTACAAGTGCGTCGGCGAGGGCTTTACCATAGATGACGTCCGGCAATCCCGCCTTAGCTTCCCCAGCGGACACTCCAGCATGACCTTCTACGCCATGGTCTACATGGCCCTCTACCTGCAGCGGAAGATCACCTGGCGAAGTTCGAAGCTGAGCCGCCACTTCATTCAGTTCGTGCTGGTGATGGTGGCCTGGTACACGGCCCTCAGTCGGGTGATGGACCACTGGCACCACTGGTCCGACGTACTCTCTGGTTCGCTCCTCGGGGTGGCCGGCGCCCTGATTACCGCCCTATTCATTGCGAGGATGTTTGACGACGGTGTTGTCAGTATCCTGACCGGAGGACTACGAAGGGAAAACACGGCGGCCACGCTGCAGGAGGAGGTGTGCCCCACCACACCGCCTCCCTACTCCGCGAACAGCAGCTTCAACGAGGAGCAGTACTGCTCAAAGGTATAGGAGCTGCAAGGAGCTCCCGCAGTCATGTAAATTCGAAACATTCCAAAGCTAGCAATAAAGCATAGACGAACATCCAGTCCGAGTCGAGTCTGTAGTATCAAAGACTATATATTAAATATTATACAGTCCATCTAGACCTCGTTTTAGAGCATCGCAGTCAGGCATCACCCATCTGTATAGTTCGCATGAGTCCGAATCGCCACCCCATCCTAGGCATAAGTCACCGTTCCATTTCGTATTATTTGTGTATTTTAATTGGTAACAATAAAGTAAATTATTGTAGCGAATACGACCAAATATCTCTCTCGCTTATCTCTTTTTAGTATTCTTTATTATTTGTTTGTCTAAATTTTAAATTTATATGTCTTCGTTTGACGATCACATACGTGAGCACGCAAAAAGGAAGAGAGCAATCTCCCAATTCATTGCTTTCTGTGCGTTGTTTTCTGAAGTATTTAGATTATAAAGTATTAAAGTAGAAGAAGTATTAGCATATCCCTAATAAGCTTGTAATCCTTGTCACATTTATGTTATCCTCCACTTAAATCAGGTTTGCTTGTATCATTTGCCTTTATAAGCCTGGACACTTGAGATTAAAGTGACCTCAAGATACATGAAAATTCTTTTTTGTTTTATTATTTCTTTATTTTTCCGACTCTGCGTGATTATTTTGTATTTAATTTAAACATTGCAATGTGAAACATTTTTCGTTGTTCCATATTTAGCAATACCCAAATTAGACTTCCTCATAAACTAGCTAAAAATGTCACCAACATTTTTACATTTCTTACTTAAAAAATTTGTCAACTGTCGTGAATAATTCTAAAAGCAATAGAAAATGTAAAACATTACATACCACGTAGTTTATAAAACATATTTTCTTCCTTTAAATATTAAATAACCCATGACCCTTGCAAAAATTTTAATTTTTTTTTAAATTTTATTAAGAATTTAAATTTGGTTGCAATTACTTTTTAAAAAGTTCTTTGATTTGATTATCCAGCTTTTCGCAACGGAATTTTTGTGAGTTATTATTAATTAATTATTATTACAAGAACTCAGTTGTTTCGAAATTCAGAAAATGAACTTATTCATAAAAGGTTTCTTATAATAAAATTCCCACAAACTCATTGAATCATCGATTGAACGCAACTTTTTCACAGACAGGCAGACGATGAACAACATAATTTGTTTTAAATAATTAAAATAAAATGAATAGATAGCGAAATAAATTATGATGAATGTTTCTATTTTCTCTAGGATGAATAATCTTCTGTGTAATAACAAGAAACCAGGCGTGACTATTTTAATACGCATTGCCATATCGAAGTGACTCCGATTTTTTCTCAGTGTTGTCATACCTGGCTGCCCCGGCCTCTGATGTCGGTTGGAATGTGTGCTGGCCATGATTCATCAACATTTTTCGATGACTTGGGCTGCGTCAGCGTTATGGGAGATCCAAGAGGTCAGCTTCTCCCGAAAATATTCTACGCAGCTCGTGAGACAGCCGCCTCCCTCGAAACTCCCTCAATTGGTGAACCTAGTTCATGAATCAAGCGATGTTAATCTGATTTGGCGGAACCTCTGACCCAGCAATTAATAAATTGGAAGAGAGCAGCGCAGAGAGCTGCGTCGAGCTTTCGAGAGCTTTTCAGGGGCTTTCTCGAGCTCGGAGCTGGCAGCTACGAAGGCATGAGATGTGGGACTCGAAGTAAGCAGCAACTCGCGTGTTTGGGTCCGATCGTTTCAGGGCCAGACGGGGACAGGCCAATGATTATAGCGCCAGCACGTGCGTGGCAACAGGCTGATAAGCCGAGATGCTGTTCGATCGGCCGATGGCGAGTACTTTGTTTTTCGACCCGGGGCTTCCACCCAGCGGAAAACATTCTCGACGTCAGCCCGAGCCCCTTTCGTCTGCAGTCTAATAATACAATCAGTGACAACAATGCGAATTGTTTATTAATAAACCGCGTTAAGGGGCTTCAGCCTATATTGCTGGGGGCTGATGTCCGACTTCTACCCGAGCCGCTGATCAGTTACCGCTGAGCCGTTGGATCGATCGCACGGAGTCCGGAGTCAAGCGTTGAAAATGAGCTTCAGTCTAAGCTTCCGCCCGCCCCTTCGCCTGGTGGTGGACCTAGTCCTGCTGGGCCTGCTCCTTATCCTTATAGAGAACTTTACCACCTTCTGGAGTCCGCCCACGAAGCGGGGTTTCTTCTGCGACGACGAGTCCTTGATGTATCCATATCACGAGAACACAGTGAGCTCTTCCCTGCTCCACCTGCTCGGCCTGTACCTGCCACTGCTCAGCCTGGTCCTCCTTGAAAGCCTCCTTTGTTACCGGGGATCGACGGGTCCCTGGACGCTGACCAACACGGTTCGTTGGTTCCTCTATGGCTACGTCTTTAACGACTTGCTCAAGGGCATTGGCAAGCACACAATCGGCCGGCTGAGGCCCCACTTCTTCGCGGTGTGCAGACCGCAATTCCCGGATGGGAGCAGTTGCGCAGATGAGGCGCACCGAGGAGGACTCAAGTACCACACGGACTACGTCTGTCAACCCGATCTGTCCCATGCCAGCGAGGACATGATCCGAGATATACACGTATCCTTCCCTAGCGGCCACTCCGCCATGGCCTTCTACGGCCTAGTATTCGTGGCGCTGCACCTGCGCCGCCGTCGCTGGCCTCTGCAGGGATCCCTGCTGAGTCCTGTGCTGCAGCTGGCCTGCGTGGCACTGGCCTGGTTCGTCGCCCTCAGCCGGGTCATGGACTACAAACACCACTGGTCGGATGTTGCGGCCGGATCGCTGCTGGGTGCCGGCACCGCCTTTGCGGTTATCTGGGCTGCCGAGTTGGAGGAGCGGCAAAGGAGCTGCCAGGACGCACAGCCATGTGCAAGTGCAAGTGTGAAGCAGGAGGCTGCGGTGGTCGAGGCATCCCCAGCCAAGGGTGCCCAACAGATGCCGCATGATTTGTGTCTGGTTACGTGCCAGAGCTCTAATTAGTCGGGGTTGCATTCCAGCCCCGGCCCTGCTAGTTTAAGGTTGACAATAAAGTTACTGACATGAGAATCCGAGCAGTTGTTTTCGTGGCTGGAGGGGCAGCTAACCAGGAAGGGCAGCTCATTTAAGATCGATCAATTAATGCGCATCTCGTGCCCAGTCGGTGGAAACTGGAAACACCAAGATCGCCTGAGTTAAGTAACTGAAAAACAGCGATTAGCTAAGCCGCTACACCAACGGCAAACATGTTTTTAAGAAAACAACTTGCGGTTTTCCCAGCTCAAGTACACCTAACAAGCTTCTTAAAACTGTTATTTACTCGTTATATTTTGTTTTATGGCTACCTTTAAGCGCTTAAGCTGTGCCAATATTTGGAGGGAAGTGACTGGCACTTGTTAATGGGGGCCATCTGCGAGATGGATGCTTATGTTCTTCCCGGGGATTTTTATCGGCTGATTGCCTGCGCATAAAAATAGAATTCGTAGAACTCGACCGGCTTCTGCGAACCCACAACTATCTCCTCAGAATGACGTATTTAAAAAGATGACAGCCTGAAATCTAGCATATAAGCCAACTGAATTCAATGCCAAATGATGCGATTGGCATTGTTGTTGCGTTGACAACGCGCTACAAATTAGCGGCTCCTTCAGTTTCATTAGCAGCGCATTTTCGAACGACTTAACCCGAGTCAACAAGTTAGCCTCCCAATCACGGCTGAGCTCGGCAGAGGTATAAATAAATTTCAGCAGCCAGCGAATAAATTGGGAAAAGGACCCGCAGCAATCTCCTCCGAATCTACGAGGCTGATGATGATGCGCAACACCTGGAGCCAGCTCAATCCGAGGTCGGATTTGCGACCTGGCCCATTCCGAGAGCACCCTCATCAGGTGGGGCAAGGGCGCTTGGGCCGCAACTTAATTGGCTCATTTATTTTAATGGCAAAGAAAATGCTGGGAAATTGTGGTTATTTTTTCCTCTCCCCTCCGACTAATTCCCTCTTCTCGCCCAGCTTTTATTATGATTAATTATGGCTCGCATACACAGGAAAACTGACCCAAAGCTCCACTTTCTTGCCAACTTTTGCAACTGTGTCAAGTTGTTGTTGCCTCCAGATTCGAATGATAAATTTCTATGCAATTTATTTTAATCTGCAGCGACAGTTCCTGCCACACTAGCCCGATCCCTTCGCCTCCACCCTTCCCCGTCCCCATAAGACACCATGGCCAGCTAGTTTCCATGCGTTAATTAAATGGAAAATATTTGCATACCAGGCAACACCGATCCAAAAGAAGGGAAGACCCGGAGCGGCAGGTTTAGCTGCAATCCGAAACAATGACCCACATTCAGCATTAGCGAAAGTTTTGTTTTGTTTACCGTGCGAGGGTAGAGGGAGAGGGGATGCCGGCGAAACTTGGCGCTCGGTTTCCTTGGGAGTTCATTAAGCAGCGGTAACTGCAGGAAGTTTTCCAAGCGACAAGCTAATTGCAAGTGGCCGGGCTATCTGGGGCCCCACCCAGACCTGTCTCGGTTTGATCCCTCAACGACCTTTGCCATCAATCAAAGCCCTTGATCAAGTCCGACTTTCTATCAATCGCTGCAGAACATGAAATTTAAGAGCTCCGCTGTCGTCGGGTCTCTAATCACCGTCAGGTGTGATAATGCGGCCAGTCGGTGTCCGGGTCCCGTTCAGTCCGGCAGTTTGTCACTCCGCATTATCTGCTCCGCCGCCAGACCCAGACCACTCGTCCATCAGATGTCCATCGTTCGAGGCACTGTTCCGTCATTTTCACGAGAGAATGGGAACAAGAACGAGAACGATGTTCTGCTGCATTTTTGCATGGTTGTTTGCTCAACAAAATATCCCAAAGCATTTCGAGGATTTTCCACTCATCCTCTTGCCGACGTTTCCGTCGTTGCCGTCGTTGCCGTTGCTGCAACATGCGCTTCATATTTCTGCGGTTGCCGTCCTGCAGCTCGTCCTGGCCCTGCTCTTCCACTTGCTATTTGCCATCAGCAGTCATCAGTGCTCACTTCCTAGCCCTGGCCAGCCCTGCTCCAATCGTTGGCTTCATGTGTGTAAAGACAATTTGATAATCGCAAAATGCAGCATAGTTTGAGTTAATGAAGCTTGTGTGCCATGTGTGCCACCTTCGGATGGCATCCCCTGGAAGTCCCCCCAGACGACTCTGTCGTTGTAGTTGTCGTTGTTTGTTGGACAACAACCGGAGCGTTTTGCTTGCCAATTAGTAATTTGCTTGCTGCCAGGCTAGGGAATGGTTTACCAGAGCAGACCAGACAGAATTCGGTCTGTCCCTGACAACCTGAGGGAGTTTTAAAATACTCGAGGCAGGGCTAGGAAGGAGGTAGGATGGATGTGGCGAGACTGGCTTAAACTCGTTTAAAGTCTGGCCAATTGGGGCAACTTTAAGCCGAAAGATGTGGAAAATTATCTTTCACTTTTTTTCAATTTGTTCAAATTAATTCAGGAGACACTCTCCGAGATGTTCCCCTGCTGCTCCTCTATCGTTTGTCTTCCATCGAAAACTGATGTGACAGCGCGACAACATTGCAATGGAAATCAGCGTGTGCCAAGCTGGGAAAAACAAACTGGCTGCTGGCTGCTGCCTGCGCCACCTTTGTGCTTCCGATTCGATGTCCTGTCGTAGGAATCACACGCAGCTCCGATACGTGACATCAAAGGACAAAACGGCGGCCATTTTGTCGCCGCCATCATTATTAATGGGGCTGGCACTGGGCGAGGATCTCCGCCCGGACCAGGATCCGAACTACGGCGATGCTAGCTTCCGTCGTACTGGGATTTTTTCGCGGCCATTTCCCGGTTCGTGCATTCTTTTTCGATGTCTCTGACAATTTTGACTGTTGTCCTGCACGGAATCGGGCATGTCCTGCTCCTGAGTCTCGGACAGCATTCGAAACAGGTGTGGCCGTCAACTGGCAATCAACTTTCATTTAGCAGGCATCATTTGTCACGCTTGTTTATTGCCCGGTTACGTGTTGGTCGCACTTAATGGTTGTTATTGTCGCCGTCCGGCATCCCCGACGCAGCAGGAATGCCGGATGCAGGACGGCGCAAGACGGTGCGCATTGCACCGGTCCGGGATGCTCCATTGGCGATGTATCGATTTAAAATCAGAGCGAAATGTCAGTGAGTACTTTGTAGAAAACTCCGCTCCGGTCCACTCCGCTTCCATTACCCCCACTCCCACTGTATCTCTCGCACACGGAGGCAGCTCATAACTAAAACATAACCCCAATTATGCCACAAGCTTCGATGCTGATTCATTGATGAGCTCCAGCAGCAGCCAAAAACGAAATGAAAACGCAGCCATAGCTAATGCCGCGTTGATTATGAATATTTTAGGGTGCCGACCAGCCGCTGCCAATCCAATGGCCAATATGACGATGATGATGATGATGATTGGGGGACTAGGGACTGGGCACTGGGGAATGGGAACAGAGGCCTTTGCGTACGCGTGCAATAAATTTATATGCCTGGCCCTGCCTGCCTGCCGGGCATATGAGAATTTACATTTTGGCAATTTCCAGCTGTCGAAGGCCCGCTCTGGCCTCCAGCCGCAGCGTCGATAGGAAATCTTCGACGGGTCCGGGCTTGGAGCCGCATCCGTGGCATAGTGCATCGCGTAAATTCCGTTACGTCGCTGCCGGATCGTTTTGCCAGCAAATGCAATTTCCTAATTTCTCACTGGGGAAATGGCGCTAAGAACCTGGACGGGTCTGCTGACCACTCGAGCCGGGGTCGCTCCGGCCGATTGGCCTGTCGGAGGGGCAGGGGTACTGGAGGTGTTCGCTTCCAAATTAATGACCCGACGCCGCAGACGATGAGTAGCAGCAACAAAAACACAGGCAGCACAGCCGGAAAAAAGAAGAGGAGCGGCCGCAGACAAAGGCGCATAAATGCATAAAGTGAAGTCGGAAAATTGCTGCAATTGGAGAGTCTCACTAGGGGAACCCCTCCACTGCTTATGCAAAGCAAATTGGTTTATGCATGAGGCGGCGGACAGAAACCGAACCATGCGAAGCGTAGCGGAAGGATGTAAGGAGCTTCACACTAAAACAGCCAAAGCCGTAGCTGATATGATGGAAGCACCGGTTGGAGGAGGGATAGAGGTGAGGAAGGAGGTACTACCAGGTACTACGGCAGGTCCAGGAGGTCCGGGCTAAGTAAATTGTTGGTTCAGCCCTTGATTAGCTTAGCCGAGTTCAAAAAGGGAGGTCAGCCGGTGGGGGATGCGAGATGGGGATGCGGAGAAGCTGGAGGAAGCCGTAATGCATTTTGAAAACCACACGAGCGGAATTTATGTATGTGCATCCGTTCCACTGAGGGGTCCTGCCAGAAGAGCGTTGCATTAAAATTTCAATATGCAACTCCTGTTTTATGCCGCGTTAAAGCTAAGTGCTACGTTACCCCAGGTTGGGGAGCAAAGTGGATGATGCGGCTCCTTTCTACGGACGAGGGTCAGAGCTGTATTGCTATCTATAAATCGCAACCCCACAAAAAAGCGAATGTTTTTAGAATGCTTATTAAACGGCCATGATACGAGCCACGCCTCAACGGATAATGACAACCACATATCGTATTTTGCGATTCCCAATCCTTGTTCGAAGCTTTCCTATGAAGGGGCCAAAATCAATAAACGACCGCACGGAAAATGTGAAAGGCTTACAGGCCAAATTGGATTTAGAAGGGATCGAGGGATTGGAAAACGAGTACCAATCCTGGGTCTAAGTAAGCAAATAATAATAAAGGTCTGGAATAAAAGTAAAAGTGAAGCGCATATTGTTTCGGGGTCCACCGAGCGGGGATTAAGATCTGCACGAGCATCGCTGATGACATGAAAGGGGAAAAGCTAGCAAAGCATAAAGGCAAACCCCGTTAAATTTTATAGAAGGGCAGCACTGCAATCGCCCGGCGAAAGCGAAAGGGTGAACGCATAATCATCACTTTTAACAGCAGAAAGGACGAACGAAAGGAGTCCTGCGACTGGACTGGACCGAAAATCACGCGTATGACTTTTCAAATGAATGAC